CCCACCCCCCACCCCCGCCCGAGTCCTTGGCTAGCTCATTGCTGATTATAGCTCATTACTCTGAGTATGGCCTCCGTGTCCTCATGGCCATCTTTCCTCTATGTGTCTGTCTTCACGGAGCTGGGGAATGAGGGAGTGGGAAGAGGGCAGGACGGCTTCCTGGAGGAGGTGACCATCGCACAACTAGCTTTGTGAGTTTTCATGTGACCTCAACACGACCCTGAGAACACCACTGTAATTTAGAGATATCAAAAACTATGATTATAAACTTTTGAACAATAATAGATACAGAGGCAGAGCTGCCTCAAACAGATTGTCAAACTGCAGCGGGAAGGCCGGGGAGGGTTGGGGGCGGGAGGTAGGGGGGTAAGAGATCAACCAAAGGACTTGTATGCATGCATATAAGCATAACCAATGGACATAAGACACTGGGGAGTAGGGGAGGCTAGGGGACTGTCTAGGGCGGGGGGGAAAAATGGACACATATGTAATACCCTTTGTAATAAAAAAAATAAATAAATAAAAACAAAAAACTATGATTAACAGGAGGAGGGGAGCATGAGTGTGCGGGGTGGGGGGAGGTTGAGGGTTAATGGGGGGGATGAGGACACATTTGTAATACCTTAACTAATAAAAAAAAGAAAAGAAAAAAAACAACAACTATGATTAACAGGCCAGGACCTCCCAATTTCCAGTCATTCAGGTCCTTAATGAATGAAGAGAGGAACTGGTCTGCGACCCGGGGGACTGAGTCACTGAGCTGGTATGACTGATCACGGGACACGAGAGGCCAGAAGAGGGGCGTGCTTACCCCTGACCAGCGACAAGGGTTCCTAGAAACTCGGTCTAGCTCTCTAAGAAGGAGCTAGGCAGGCACATTCAAGTCCAGTGTCTGGAGACCCTGAGGATCGCTGAGGCAGCTCGGCCCCCTGTGATGGGAACAGAGGAGGAAGTGGCCGCCCACACTCACACTAACACCTGGATGGGAGAGGCTGAGCGTGAGGGGGAGGGAGAGGAGGGACGTGGGCAGGAGGGATCAGTAACTGCTGACAGGCGGCCGGGGCGGGGTCATGGGGAACTGACCCTTGCCTGAGCATCATGGGCACCATTCTTTCCCAGTAACAGTTTCTCCATGTGCCGATGAAACAGGTGGGCAGAACGCTGCACGGGCTGGCCCGCTGCGCCTTCCTCTGTACCTAGACCCCAGTACCCCAGGAAGGACTGGCTGGATGTCGAGTTATAAATAGTCCTAGACGGCCTTTTGCTTTAAAATACAGTTTATTTTTTTCCTCCAATTGTAAAAATAATACATTATAAAAGCAGATAACAGAAGACACAAAATCCACCAAGGAAAGCGGCAGAAACCCTGACTCCCACCACCCGGAGAGCCCTGGTGGGGTGTGCGCCCCCAGGACCAGCAGAAGGCAGTGCCAGGGCAGCACTGCAGGTCTGCCTCCCCCTCCCCGACCCCTCTCTGTCAGCACTCGGCAAGGGCACAAAGTGGGAAGAAAATGCTGGTCAGCCCCGCAGGGACTCCCGGCCCCCGGTCCCCACGCCCAGAAGTAGAGTTCACAATACGTTGTGGATGGACTGTAAGACTGGAGCAGACTCCTGGTCACCTTTTTATTCATCGGACTCCCAGCTTCAGAGGTACTCCCTCCAACAGGAGCAGATGGGAATGGCATGTCATCTGCCTGGGCACGTGGGTAAAGTGGGGGGAGGAGACACACACGAAGCACAGTGAAATGTGGAGAACCATTCAGCTCAGGGAGGACTGGCCCCGGCCTCTCCCTGTGCACGATACCCTCTATGTGAGACAAACAGAAGGACTCCGACCCAAAGGACCTCAGTGTCTCCCACACAGCGTCGCCCATCATTTCGTCTCCGGTTTAACACGCTCCCCCTTAACCACTGTTAATGCTGCAAAGCCCCGCCCCACCTGCAACACCTAGCGCATCGGCTCCGAAGTCCGGCTGGCCTGTCCTCTCGGCCCGGCACCACAGGTCTCAGCCCCCCACCTGGAGAACGGGAATGACCCACCTGGCCGGCTAAAGAAGGGACCGAATGCAACAGGGAGGCACGCCACACAGTGCTGGCCCGGCCCAAGGTTCAGTAAATGTTACCGCACACATTACCACTTCCCGTGCACTTACTACATGGCAACCCTAGGCTCTCGTTTCTGTAAAACGGTTCCTGAGTGTGGAGTCCAGCCTGGGGAAGCCGCTGGGTCTAGCAGCAGCAGGACCAGTGAGGCCAGCCAACTCCAGGCAGACATGAGGGCTCCACCAGGGCCTCGCTCAGACTACAGGGCAGACGGGCTCAGGCCTGTGCAGGCTGTGGGGGCACCGACGCGACACAGGCAGGTTCAGAGAGGAACGCTCCCTCGAGAACAATGAATGCCCCATCATTGTTTTCCTTTCATCAGTTTTAAGCACTTAGCATACGGACATCTGTTCCTTCGTGTTTCATCTTTGTTCATCTGTCATCCTCAAAATGAAAGTCCAGAACCTTCCGCACTGATTTTAAAGTCCGGCTGAACGTTTAGTAATGAACAAAGCTGAAAACACAAAAGAGAAGAGAGGGTTTTTATAATCTTGTGTATTTTGACTCACAATTGGAGCATGACTACCTCTAGCTGCAACTTCTGTCTCCGTCACGGGCCCTCACGCAAGTCCACACCGACCCCTCATCGGTCCAAACAGCCGCCAGGGCCTGTGCCGCTCCTGCCCCCAAGTAACACACGGTGGACAAACCTGTTTAAATTTCCCTCTAATTCTGTCTAAGTCTTCGTGAAGGTTGGCATAAGTAGGGTCACCGTAAGGGAACTTCTGAATCATGCTGATCAAGGATTCTAAGACCTTCATCTTTTTGCTGTAAAGTACAAAGATAAAGACTTTTAGTCCTTTGTACACAACAGGCTCAGATTGTGTAACAACTACGGCCATCACTCACTTAAAAGTAACAGGCATGCTAATGGGCCGAGTTCAGAAGCTGGATGATTCATTTTCTTATTACACTAAACAGTATTTGTTTACCTAGCAACGTGCTCTTGCCCACTCCCACGCCTCCACATCGAGGGCACTGAGCGGACAGATATGCCTCCATCCCAGGCGTGGAGCCGGGGGACTGGGACAGCCACCAACAAGCACCCGACCGCTGCTTCCTTAGGTCAGAGACGTGGACAGATCAAACCAGGCAGGACAGAGCGCCGGCACGATGGAGCCTGCTCTGGACCTGGGGGGTTTCTAAGACAAGACAGCTCGCTCCCAGAGTTCAGTGGCAGGTGAACCAGCAAGCCCCTCCCTGCAAAGGGCAGGCGCGTTGTCTGGTGGGTGAGTCCAGCTCCCGTTCCCAGGAAGACAGAGCTCTGGGCGGCGGGTGGTTCTGCAGGAAGAGCAGCCCTGCTCCAAGGAGCTCAGTTACTTAACCCAGAGCCTCAGTGTCCTCATCGGTAAAACGGGGCGTTCGCAGTGACCCTACCGGCTTTCGAGGCCACAGATAATCTATGGAAAATGCAGAACCTAGTACAGAGTAGGTGCTCAGTAAGTTTAGTGTCCTCGCTTCCACCAGACCCTGGAGGCCAGGGCCCCACCTGGGGAAGCTCAGGGTGAAAACAGCCATAAGTGTGCGCGCCTGGGTAATGTGCCACAAGGGATCCTGACGGGCACCGCCCCTGGACCACATCTGAGCATCTGCGTGTCAAGAGCATGCTAGTATTTGATTAATGGGAATTTCAAAGTATTTATCCTGGAGGTGAATCAACAGCAATTCGAAGCAACCAAGACCTCCTGCATGCCTGCTGCATTGCTGGCTTTAGACACAGGCGTGAGGGAGTCTGCCAAGCAAATCTCTGGGCCAGGACCATGGTGGCCACCTCTCTGAGAAAGTGCAGCACGGTGAAAGGTCAAAGCAAGTTAATTAAAGCAACAAAGCACTTGGTTTCCAGGGAGATCGCAGGCAGAGGCCAGCATGTGGGAAACAGTCGTATTTGAACATGATACGAAGAACACCACCATTTCCAACTTTGCAAGCAGCGACTTATTCTTCCCTGGTCAGTGACACTGCTCCGAACACACCCAGCAACGTCCGTGTGTGCCAGGAGGGCGTGGACCGCTCACAGCCGCCCCAGCTCAGCCCTGGCCCAGCGTCGGTCTGTGTGAGGCTTCACCAGGCTTCACCAGGGGCAAAGCAGCAGCTCCAAGTTTATGGAAGAGCTACGGCCACCAGGCGTAAAGCACCGTCCTCAGTCTGAGATACGAGTACTGCCATCCGTGGCTCCTCTGCTGTAAAGAGCCCCGTTCCACTGCGTGCTGACGCGGACGCAGGTGTTTCTCTCTCGGCGCCCTCATTTGGGACATAAAGAAGCAGATCCTCTATCAGCTTTCTACCATTTTTTCAAAATTGTACTGACCTACAAGAGCCAAAAGCTGCCGGCCGTTCCACCAGCAATTCCCCCGGCTAGGGCACTGAAACAGAGGCCTCTAGGTTATGCTTCTGAGACCCTCAGGCACTGCTGGCAGCGTGGGGGCGGCCGCAAGGTGGGCTGCGGACATCCGCCTGCCGGTGCCAGAACTGCGGGTCCTGCTCTCTGACAGACTAGGCACAGGGAACCCCTGCTCTGGGCAAAGACTGGAGCCCTGGGTGTGGGTCCAGGACAACATGCCTCCACCCGCCAGCAGACCTGGCACTGGGGAGACTCGGGGAGAACTCCAGGAACGCACCTCCCCTCGTCCCTTCATGGATCGGAGTGGAGAGCCAAGCTCAGCTGTGACTGCCACCCAGTGGTGCCCCAGGCTGCCAGCCACTGTTCCAACGAGATCACCAGCCACCCTGCGCTCCCGCTGACTCCTCAGGGGAAAGTCCCTGCGGAGGCGCCAGAACCTGGTCAGTTTCCAGCTCTCCATGCAAATGGATGGCTGGTGAGCAGACAAGCCAGAAGGCAAGCAACTCAGAACCAACCACTCAGCGGAGAGCATCCTGCTCTTACATCCGCATACGGGGGGCCAAGCTCCAGAAACTCAAAATCTCACATCCGACGAGTCATGGAGACGGGAATGCCACCTTCCCTGCGCTGTCACCCACTCTCCTCACGCCCCTCCCAGGCCAGGCCAGGCCGCCAGGCATCGGAATGAAGACAGATGCTACGGGTCACACCGTGAGAACAGTTTAAAATGCCCGTGACAGCCAACAGCACGGTGCTTCCGAGTGCAGACGCCTGTTAAACACTGAACGCCCATCTCATTGGATCCGGTTGGCTACGTTAGAAAGCTGGTGACAGTGAAGCCACCATTTCCGAGCCCTAGCCGTACCGTGACTACCGTACTTCGTTAGACATTCAGGTCCAGGTGAGGGAGAGGATATAATCAACTTCAACATTATTTTACTGGCAGGGTGTCCGAAGGCCACCACTGCTCTAAATGACACCACGAAAAGCCGGGGGACGTGAGAACTCCTGAAAAGTAGTAACAACCGGTATTCATCAGACACTGAACATATGCCCAGGACTGTCCATTACGGTAATCTCCCCTTAACTCGGGGATACAGTCCAAGACTAGGGAATATAGTCAATAATACAGTGATAACTATGTTTGGAACTATGGGGTGGGGGGAACATTTTACATATATGCATAATCCATGGACACGGACAATAGTTTGGTGAAGACCTGGGGAGGGGGCAGGAGCAGGGTAGAGAGGGTCAATGGGGGAGAAAGAGGGGCATCAGTAAGGCTTTCAACAATAAAGATACATTTTTTTAAAAAAAAACAAAGCTTAGTACAGTAGTCCCCTTTTGTTCATTGGGATACATTCCCAAGACCCCCAGTGGACGCCTGAAACCATGGATAGTACCCGATGCTACATATATTGGTTCTTCCTACACACACACACACACACACACACCTCTTCACTTAAAGAACACACTTATGACTTCTCCATGGCGTATCCTGATTGCCGGCACCACCACTCTTGCACTTTGGGGCCATGATGAAGTAAAGTAAGGGGGGCCTGACACAAGCACTGCGATGTCAGGACAATCGATCTGATCACCGAGGCGGCTACTAAGTGACTAACCCGCAGGCAGTGTCTGCGGCGTGGATTCGCCGGACACGGGGACCATCTGTGTCCCGGGTGGAACAGGGCGGAACGGCATGAGGTGTCGTCATACCACTCAACATGGCGCACAATTTAAAACTTGTGAGCTGTTTATTTCTGGGACTTTCCATTTAATATTTTCAGACTACAGATGACTGAAACTGCAGATAAAGGAGAATTGCCATACTATCTCCTATTAACTTCACAACATTCAAGTTTGGCCTGATTATTTCCTCCATTTTGCAGATGAGAAGACTGAGACATTAAGTGCCCAAGGTCATAGCAAGCTACGGAACCAGAACTCTTGGTCCATACACTGGAAAAGAAAGGAGTCTCGAACTTACCTGTCTTTCTCAGTTGCACGGCTGTGCAGGAGACATCTCCAAGCAAACGCAAAACCTTGGTAGCAGCCGATCTGCGAATTCACAAATATTTAAGAGTAAAATTAATACGCAACTGGCTACACTCGATGTCATGATCAAGCCCTCTAAACAAACGGGGGCGGAGTGCAGTGGTGCTTCTTGTATTGCTATCCTGGAATTAGGTGTCGAGCATCAGGAGGGGGAGCCGGGTCAAGTCATCAGTGGGGCAGCCAGTCTCCAAGCTGGGCCCACGGACCCCACCCCCTCCGACTGCACCAGGGTGGTCAGTATAACCAGAACCCGGAGGAAAGGGCACACATGACTTCTGAGGCTAGACACACAGACGACGTCACCTGTGCCTTCCTGTTTTGGATCACTCACTCACTCAAGTGTCACGAGGACATTACAGCAGACCCACAGACAGGCCCACAGGCGAGAACAGCTGCCGTGCGAGCCATCTCACAAGTGGCTTCTCCTGCCCCAGTGGAGCTCTGGCTGGTCTGGCACTGTCATCAGGAGGCCCCGAGCCATGAGCACCCAGCTCAGCTGCTCCTGGCCTGCTGACCCTCAGAAGCTGGTGAGAACCAATGTTTGCTGACCTCAGTCCATACGTTTTGTGCTGACTCTTTCTGCAGCAGCAGATACCTATCTCACGGTCATGGCTGCCTCGACTCAGCGTTCAGGGCCAGACGTCTGTGAGGGCCAATGTAGGACGAAGGGTAAAGAGAAGGAAAACCATGGCGTTTCCACCTCAACGAACATGCAGTGTTCCCACACGACACGGAGCTGTTTTTCTGAGTGAGGACTCAGCTGGCTAAAGACACGAAGTGGCACCGTGACCCTCGCCGGCCACGGAGGTGGCTGCGGACTGCTCTTCTCACTCCCCAGCCGCACGCACACCGCATTATCTCCATCAGCAATACGTACTGCCGGTTCTGTGCTAAGAATATTTCTCATCAACATGCTGCCTAGTCAGGGCCATGGTAAGAGGCCTGAAGTGCTGGCTCGATCAGACTGACCCTCAAAGTAAGCTCTCAACGGTCCGTGAGCAGGATCCAGGGCTGCGTGGGGACAGCCACTTACCTCAGACCCAATTTTTGCTCCGTACACTGCGCCATGCTGTCTTCCTTCAATTACGCCCAAACTACTGCCTTCTTCATAGCCTTCCTGGTACCCTTCCCCGTGGAACCTGCGACAGAGGAGAAGCGGGTTTGAGCAAACAGGAGGGAGGGCATTTTTCCTGGAAACACTTCTCTCCCATAATGCCCAGACCCAGCAAGACAACGCAGAGAAGAGTAGATAAAGTGCAGACTTTAAGTCAGAAGGCTTAGCTTCCAATCCCCGCTGTACCCCTTCCTACGTCTGTCCTCTGGCAAGTCACGGGACCTCCTGAAGCCCAACTGGCCCCTTCTGCGATGGGGAGCGTGGCCTCGTCAGCGAGTCCCATGCCGGGCGGAACACCAGGCACATGCAGGGAAACTCCAATGCAAGAGCCTCGCCCCAATATTCACTGAGTCTGGGGTACGACTTAGAAATCTGCTTTCCGACACCTCCTAGGTGACGCTGGTCTGCAGCCAAAGTCCTGAGTCTGAAAGATACACACTCAGCCAACCTTTTCGAAGAACTCAGAAATACACAGGGTTTCCCACCACATGGGTGTAGACTGGCAGGGGAAAATGCCACTGGGTCACCACCAAGCGCCCGTGGGGCCTGGGTATAATTCCAGCTCTGACTCTGAGGGCTCAACAGCTGAAATGGCACCCTCTAACCCCCAGTCACCAAAGAGGAAAGGTGCCTGTCGGAGCCCCTACTGAGGCAGGGTATGTAGGTCTGGCCTGTGCTGGTGGTGTGACCCTGGACAGCGACCCTGCCTCATCTGTAAGGCGGGGCGAATAACACCATCTCCTAAAACAGATAATGGGGCAGGGGGTTTGCAACACTCCAGTCAGTGTCAGATTCACAATACGCTCGAAATAAAAGTCAGCAGCGACTGATTGACATCTATTGCTGTCTCAGAGGCACAAAGCAATTCACAGCTCCCCTCGTCACAGCCCCAGGCGCCCCGGGAGGCTCTGGAGGGCCAGGGATGACGTCTGACACATTCATCAGCACGTCCATGAATGCTGCCTTATGTCCTACCACGGAGGAACAAGAGAAGGGGGCAGTGCCCAGATGGCAGAGGGCTGTCCCAGCCGCGGACGGGGCGTTCCTGGAGGAAGGCAGTCAACAGACCGAGCAGATGCCTGGGGCAGCCCCGCACGCGGAGGCGGGTTTGGAGGAGCAGCTGGGCACGTGGGGCCCGCCCCGCCCCAGCGGCCAAGGAGTAAAGGAGAATCGACAGTAGCTCGGCCCCACACGTGCCCGCTGCTTCTAGGGCCACAGAGCGCTCCTCCAAGGCCCACGCCCGCGGGACACCAGGCCCGAGCGGCCACTGCACCCCAGTAGCCGAGAGCGGACCCGATAGGACG